ACGCCACCAAAGAAACAACATGACATCAGAACCTGACAATAACTATAGTGGGCTGATACTAGGTATCAGGCACCACAAACGCGTAAGTCAGTATGGTGTAGTCGGTTATCACGCTTGTCTCACACACAGGAGGTCCTCGGTTCGAGTCCGAGTACTGACATGGTTTCTTATTTTATCGTGGGTGGGAAAAATTTTACTTTCCCCCCTTTTGTGTGGTAGGGTGGGAAAGTTTTCTTAGATTTTGAGCCACATGACTTGGATCAGTTTGTGGTCAGATGATTTAGTTGTGGGTCGGAATCATGTGATTCTCAGCAGGTGTTATTTTTCATTCTCAGTTGTTTTCATACCACCATTTGGTGGGGATTTATATTTGCTTTAGTTTTGGAACAGGAGGGGAAGATTACATCTCCCAATAAGGATGACTGTCTTCCTCAAGATGAAGCTGATTTGATGGCCACAAGTCAGGATATCCCAGATGATGGTGTAACCACTCTATGTCATGATCATACTTTGTTCTCTTCATTCTTCCCTTTTGACCATTCTTTTTTCCTTTTTTTTATTATTCTTCATCATACTTTTTTCATTCACCCTTCCCTTGGGGTTACCTTCATTGTGTCCCTTCTTGATTCTTCTTTCATTCTTCTTTGCATCCCTTTATTCTTCTTGGATTCCTTCCTTTTTTTGCCATGTTGGTTTTCCTTTTGTTTTTGGGTTTGGGGGTCAAACTGACCACCCACCTTGCTGGCCCTGCATTGAACCATGGTTCCTAAACACTATATAAGGGCCATGGAATCACAGCAGTAACTCCTTAGCTAGCAATGTCTGTTTCCTTCATTTTGTTCCTTATCTCTTCCTTGTTTTTTTATGTTTTGCAATTTGTTCTCAAATAAAAACTTGTCTGCATTATATGGCACCTGGTCATCCTATTTACCCTTGATTCCTGACACCCTACAAGGCCTTCCCTAGTCTTGTGCTCCCAACATAGAGCCAATGGATGAACATTTATCTCCATGAAGGTTGTTTTTATTCTGATGTCAAAGTGCACTATGATTTTTGTAATGATTTTATTGTCATTCATGGGTTATATAAGGAGACTGGGTCAGGGGAACTCAAATCCCTCATGAATAAAAAACATGTTTGTTCAATTTTAAGATTTATATACCTATGTCAAGAACCAAGGTATATAGGGCGACCAGGTGCCAAATGATGTAGGCGAGTAGGTTTATTGAACAAACTTATGGAAACACA